GTGAATAAAGTATATCAAATAGGTCTATGAAAACAAGCCCCAAGGAAGCAACACATACATGATGTTGTGTAATTTGAAACCAAAACTAAGGCCTCAGGATGACGTTAAGACTTGAACATGGGCATTTTTGTTTTGTAACATTGAATACAATTTTTTTTTTTTTTAAAGTATTTTCTTTTTCTTTCTTTTTTTAATCCTGATCCCCGATTTTTTTTTCTTCCGATCTTTTGAAAATCACGTGATCGGCTCCGATCACGTGATCGGATCGGGACATCTCTAAAAGCAGCACAAGCTTAGCCACCTTTCTTCATGCATCTTTAACTGCTGTGAATTTATATTTTGGAAACAGATGTTTTTGTTTTCTATTTTCGAATAAAAGAGATAGTTTGACATTTTGGGATCTATGCTTATTCTTTTTATTGCCAGAAGATATTACTTATTAATATCTTCTGGCAACTACGGACAACATGTCTTTGGGTTATTTTTCTAAATTGGCAAAGCTTAAGGATCATCAGTGTCACAATGCAGTTTTTAAGACCGGGTCTAGCTTAAGCTCTAATTTGAAAGAATAATTTGACACTTTGGGATCTACGCTTACTTGCTAAGAATCCAATGAAGAGGTTCATATCCCTCCCGGCTATGACTTACTTTCATATATTAATTATTTTGTTGATTAATCGCTGAAGAAATTAAAAAAATACCTTAATAAAGGTCACCTATTATGCAAAATCCACTTGAGAAAACAAGTATAATAGGGGACTTTTAAAGTTTTGTGGTTTTGTTTGACCAACAGTTATATGATATGTAATGATATTAAACAATCTTTACATTTGAGAAGCTGAATCCAGATCACTTTTGGTGATACAGCAATAAATCAATTAACAAAGTAGTTGGCAATTGTTTTCCATGAATTCTCTAATGTTTGACCCAGATTGTAAAAGAAGCTGGTGTTAATGCTGTATTTGAGTTGATACATGTATATTCTGTGTTACTCAGCATCGTTCGAGCCACAGGAGAAGACAGTAAAACATTATTTGTATGCTGATTTAATAGAAATGAACTGAAACGGCAGTAGAGCTCATATCATTTGTAATAAATGGGACTAAAAATAAAAAAGCTATGATCCAGATTGTGTCCTTTTTACGAAAAAGTTTCTACAATTTAGTTTCTTTTTGAGCACAGTGGATTTAAACATGAATGACTTGAAATTAAAATGGAAGTAAAAAAGGAATTAAACAACAATATTTGGCACATTAAAGACAAACAAATATTTTAAACATTTAAAAAGGAGATGTTTTCTTTTTGGAAATGCAAAATAGTAAATGTAATTCAATCTTGGTAATTTGTTAGTTAAAAATATAATTTTCTCACATTAAAATAAAAGACCACTTTTTTAGCAATCAGCGTTATTTCACTCACCATGAAATGCTTCGTTTGTAGGCACCGAATATGTTTTAGAAAAATGTAATATCAAATTGACATTAGTTTTCAGTGTCATCTTGCATAAAACCACTTAAAGGTGGGGTAGGTAATTCACTTCAGGCCTACCTGCCTGTGAGCCTTCCATCTGTGCACAAACTCATCTCGTGCCCTCATTGGTCATGTGCGCGTTCGTGTGTGTTGGAGGAGGGGCTCTGTAAGGAAGTCTGAAGGAAGGGGCAGATTTTTTTCAGCTGCGTACTTTCAAATTCTAGCGCACTCGAGCTGGTTTCTCCATTCTTACCTACCCCACCTTTAAGCTCATGTTGCCAGTACATCTTTATCTAAAATACCCTGTATGAAACACAACTTAATATACATTTGTGGTGAAGTTGTGTATAAAAAAAACAACCAAAACTTATTCATTTCTTCATACCACAATAGAGGAAAGTAGTCTTTGTATTTTGTGTGAACTTCCCCTTTGTAAAATCTCCAAACTATAACATGCTCAAAGAGAGTCAGAGTGCGTTATCAGCTGATTATCCTTTTTATTGTTTTTAATAGAAAGTCCAACTCTCGCTGCAGGTACAAAAACAGAGAGCTGGAGTAGCAGCAGGCTGAACGCTGACAGAAGAAGAAGAAGAAGAAGAAGAAGAAAGCTATTCCCCAGTTCATAATTACAGAAAAAAAAAATCCTTTTACATTCCTTTATCCCAGAGCTGTACAACGAAAGACGAGGCAAACAACATTTATATATTTCATATTATATATAAAACAACAAAAAATCTATAGATCCCTTTTTATGTTGACGGACATTCGGATGAGCACGGGGAGGAATTCACAGAAAGATTACAGTATTTCTGACGGATGCAGGAGGGACTTTTGTTTCGTGCTCGCTGATTGTCTTCAGTCTGTTTTGTTTTTGCAGCAGAGAAACACACAGGCGCACCTCTATTTTACTTACATCGTTTCCAGATTATATTACAAAATAATTAAGTTTCGGAAGAGATTCTTTAATCACTAATCAGTCTGATTTGTGTTGTAATTAAAGAGCCAGTTCACCATTTACACGTTGATCATTTTATATAATATAATGCAAAGTTTCCCAAAAAGAAGAATGCATTTGGTTTCAGTATTAAAATGAATATATTTCAAGTGTCGGCTTTGAAATGTGTCACCGGGCATGAAAAAAACAAAGTATTGAATTGATTTGAAATGGAGTGTGTGTGTACTGGATGATGTAGTAACTTTGTAGAAATCATTGGGAAATTGGCAAAAAATCCATAAAATGCAAGTATTTAAACTAGCTTTTCCCTTCATTGCATTATGGGAAATGTAGTTTCAAGTGTTCTAGGAGCATATTGGGGATTAAAACCACAATACCTCGACCTCTGCTGACTTGAATGAATAAATCAGCGGTCTATTAAGAAAGAAACGTATGGGTGAACTAACCCTTTAATTCAGTTAGTTTTTAAGCTGGAATACAAATATTTTAAAATGTACCAGCTGTGGATCGTTTTTTCTGCTACACTCTGAGTTTAAAACAGACAGAAACATCCTGGTTACATGAAGAAGAGATGCCTCAGGATGAGTTTCACTCCAAAACAACGACGTCTAAAGCTAAAATAAATCTGTAACGGAAAGACAAAAAGCATCGGGTGTTTGGAGTGAAACTTTTCTGCATGTTAGTTAAACGCCACATACATCTGTGTGCTTATTCTATTTTATTCTATGTACACCTCTCTCCTCCTGGATATATAAAAAATGCATTTTCTTGATTCGTAGAAACCTGAGATGCTCGTACGTATTTATATTTACAGTTCAGCTCTCCATCGGTCGGCTCGTACAGAGCAAGGTCACTCCGGGGCGAAGTGTCTGACATTGTTTTTGGAAGCAAGAAGCTTTCTCGCGTTATTTAATTTAACATTCTTTTAGTTACTTCCTGTAAATGTACACATTTATTCTCAGAGAATAATTAGGGTTTCTTTTTCCTAGCAAATATATCTATTTTTGACTTTTTTCCCCTCACACATCCTTTGAGTTTGTCTTGCATATGCTTGACTTATTTTTTGAAAATGTACCTCTTTATTCTCAGGTAATATTTAAGGGTTTCCTTTAAGTGCATTTTAACATTTCAGATTAGTTATATATTGCCCAATACTGATTTCTTGTAAATGTACCACTCAGATAATATCCCCCTTTTCCTATGTCTTAATTTTTCCCTTTCTGCAGGTAAATCTTGAAAGCAACATCTTGTTTATGTCCTTCTCCGTAGTGGCCGTGCTCTCAGAGGCTTCTTGAGGTTTAAATACAGAATCTGCAGCTACGCAGACCCTAACGACAGTATAACGACCATCCTAGCTTTTTATATGCATACATTAGACGTTCCTATGTTCCCCTTTTTGAAGTAAATAAATACAGTACTTTTATTCTCCTCGCGCCGGCTCCCTCTCGGGGTCTGCGCTGATTGTCCGAAGCAAAAACAGGAACTGATTATTTCTCGAGCTGAGAGATAACCGACCAATCACAAGAGTCCGTTAAGGTGCAGGACGGCGGGCGGGGTCGGCAGCGAGGGGCGTGGTCTCTGTTTCTATTTGGCGTTAGCGGCTCCTGGGTCCATCAGTAGTCTGTCCCCCGGACCAGAGGGAGGAGAGGAGGAGGAGGAGGAGGAGGATGAAGGTCCGGTGGAGTTCAGAGTTGAGGGGGGGTGGAGTTCAAAGGTCACAGAGCGGTGGAGGTGATCTTCTTCATCCCCCTCCTCTGGGCCAGGGTGGAGCAGCCCACCGGCTCCAGCACCGGGGGGACGTTCCTGTTCAGAGCCGAGTACGTCGCTGCCATCGCACCCTGCAGGAAGAACACAGAATGCATTATTTTACATAAATTGGTGCGTTGAAAAATGGAATAATAAATAAAAATGGCTAGTTGTATCTGAACTGAAGTCAGATTCTTGGCATATTTAAACTGCATAACTACTGGAGACTTACAGTAAAGATACCAGTGAATTAATTTCCCGTTAAAAATCTAATCTAAATCAAAATGTTGACATTGTTTTGAAACAATAAGCGAATAATATTTTGTGCATACATATATATATATATATGCACAAAATAAGCATAGACTGACATTAATAATCTCTAAACACTGAGGATACACCACGTGAACTTCTTTGGGCATGTATCAACAATGATTTCATAGTTTGAGACCCAAACTCTCCTTCTTCTGGACAAACCCCGCTCTCCTTTATTTTGAAATACCTTGACCAGGTGTGGGGCGTCCTGTCTGTTCAGGGTGTATTTGGGCAGCTGGTCCCGGTGAGTCACCCAGGGGTGTCGCAGCACCTGACCCGCTGTCAGCCGTCGGTGAGGGTCCACGTGCAGCATCTTAGAAACCAGGTCCTAAAAGGGTGGGGGGGGTTTGTAGAAAAACACAGTGAGGTCATAAGTATTAGACAGGATACTTAGAGTCGGACCCAAATGTAATTTAAACACTAAATGCACTTTCAATAAAAAGCACAATGTTCCGCTCTGGGAGCAGACGTCAAATGGAAATACTCAAAGAGAAAATGTAGCAGGGTTGTCTTTCCCCTTCAGACTCATCTTTGTCTAAATTAAAGTTGTTTGTTTTTACTCTCGTTTCTGGTTTGTTTTAAAATAGAGTTATGTTAGAGTCCATACCTTAGCCTCAGCAGAGACAGAGTTCCAGTATCCTCCAGTGAGGGAGAACTTCCCGCTTCCGATTCGAGCCAAAATCTCCTCCGGCGTGTCCTCGGGACCGTTAGCAAAGGGCGTGAACCTTTAAAACATATTCATATTTAGATTTGTGACGTTTATTACATTTATCTGTCAGGAATCATTTACAAAAACATTAATATCATATAGGGACACAGAAAACACTAAGATAAGTCGAGAAATAACTACAAATATTTCAGTATTTTCAGTTATACTCTCATATCATTTTTGGGCAGAGTAATGTTTTTTATCCACATTACTATGGGAATTATTTTAATCTAGCCTCATTTGAGATGAGAACTATATTGGAAATTGTGAAAAATGTGATGTTTGTTGGCAATAATGAAGCGATAAAAATGTTTTCATGTTAATAAAATAAAAGGTGTTTACCCTGTTAGCATGGTGTAGAGCAGGACTCCCAGACTCCAGATGTCACAGGCTGCATCATAACCCTGCTTCTTCAAAACCTGCCAGAAACAACGTACAAATAAATATATAAATATACCACATATACACACAACCCTTCCTCTATGCATACGTTAATACTGGAGAGCTGTATTAATGGTATTTAAACAACAATTTATTTAGCCTTTTACTTTTGTTTAGTTGCATTAAAATAAATCAAGACAGTGACAAAAAACACAAAAAATAACACTTTCAAAGAAGTTAAGAAAGAACATTTGAACAAAACGAATCAATGCAACAAACACTAAAACATAGAAGACATAAAGAGTGAGAAATGTCCTGATGCTGTAGTAACGGACTTCGTACCTCAGGAGCGACGAAGTTTGCGGTGTAGCACGGCGTCATCAGAAGACCGTTCTCCGCTCGCAGCTGTTTGGCGAATCCGAAGTCGCAGATCCTGATGGACTCGGCGTTCCCGCTCTCGTCCACGTACAGGATGTTACTGGGCTTCAGGTCTCTGTGCACCACCTGGAGGAGGAGGATGTTTAACTACAGGGTATATTTTCTGTTCAAAGCTGTACTCCAAGATATCTATGCAAAATCTGTGTATCTGCTTTTTTTAGTTTCTTTTTTTTCTTCTTGTAATTCTTTGACTTTTATTATCTCTTCAACAACACTACAATTGAATCGGTCCCCGTTTTCTCCCACGGCTTAAAATCCACCTTTAGTTGAAAATACTCAGTTCTTTGTGACCCGAAAGATGAACTAGATACGATAAATCTGCACAGTATACTACAATAAATGATCAGAGAGAAGAACTCGTTTTTACATGCTGCATGGAAATCAGATGTAATGCTATCATTAAGAGCAGACAAGTAAACAACTCTAAAAGGTGTTTTTCTCTTAAAGACAGAAACGTACCCCCTGCACATGCAGGTACTCGAGCGTCTTGGTGATGGTGTACAGGACGGCGCTGGCTTCTCTCTCTGAGAAAAACTTCTGCCGGAGGATTTTATCGAGCAGCTCGCCTCCTTTCATCAGCTCCGTCACCAGGAACACCGAGCGGCCGTCGTCGTACACCTAGCACGCGGCAACAACACAAAAATAACCTTTTAGTCACTACATTATTCATTACAAATCATTTATTGTGAGAGATTTCTAAATTGGACCAATCACGCCTTCTAATTCTGGATATCCGTTCCTTCAATAGAACCTAAAACATGCAGCATTATCAAATTACAATAACAACTAAGAGGTTCAGCCTGAAAGGTGAAGTGGACCTGATACTGATTCATTGAGACTATGCGGTAGACTTGGTACCGGTGTTTGCTTTTCCTAAACAACAAGTTTTACACTGTTTTATATTTGAGAATACAAATATTCAAGAAAAATAATTTGAGTCCATTAATCAATCAGCAGAACATTCATTAGCAGATAGTTAAATAATAAAATCAGTTTTACAACAACCTTAAATGTATAAGGCATAAATGTAGGTATAATCGGCTTCAGTTACAAGAAGTGATTCAAGGAAGTTTTCACCCAGCAGCAAGACGATATTTTTAACTCCAATAATTACGAGTGAGTCATGAAACCATCGCAACAAACCAGGGAATTTAAGATCTTTTGTCCACACAGAAATGTGGGTTCAGCCCGACTGAGTCACTCTGGACAAACACGCAGATTAACACCTTCAATTACAGAAATACATGTGAAATTCAGTGGATGGAAAAAAGGACTTTGTGTTTATTCTATGGCGTTGTCCCCGGTATCAATAAACACCATAATAAAGGCATACATTGATATCCTCCTCCTCAGTATGTCCTTTAATCCAAATGCTCCTGGATAATACTTTATAATACGTTTTATTCCACTCACATCTTTGAGTGTGATGATGTTGGGATGTTGACCGTATCTCAGCAGGATCTCCACCTCCTCCGTCGGGTCTCTTTTCGCCTTATTAATGATCTGAAAACAGAGTTTAAAGTAAAGGAAAAGTTAAATGTGGACAATATATATTACGTTTGGATGTTTGTGTGTTTCTTACCTTCACTGCGTACTCCATGCCGGTGCCTTTGTGCACGGCACGTTTGCAGATGGAGTACGAGCCCACACCGATGTCCTCTTTTATCTCGTAGGCGTCTGAAAACTGAGACGTGCTTCTGTGCAGCTGCTAGGTGCAAAGACACACATGTCAAAGCAAACATTAATAATGATAATGATTCATTAAGGCATTCATACCTATTGCTCATTGGTGGAAAGGTTAATGTATTGTCTTTTAAAGAATTGTATTTTATTTGACATTTTACTTTTTCTGTTTGCATGGATATCATTTATCTTTGTATTGCACATTATTGCTTTGAATTCTTATCGTTATATGTAATTCTAGTCTGCGGTTTCACTGGTTATTTGTCTCCCCGTGCAGTATGAAAGTATGTGTGTACCTGTACAATATTGCTAGGTAGTGGTTGTGTGTCCTCTTCTGTTATTGCCACAAAACTGAAGCCTCTGAACAGCTGATGGGCGTTGGCGCTGGGAGGGACCCCCGGAGAGTCTGAGACACAGAAACAGAGACAGCTGCTGAACCTCACCGCTCGGACCAATCACATTTTTATTCAGGATGAAGTGAGGTCACACGGTGCGTACCTCGGGGTGTTTTAGCTGTGAACTCTGGATCGAAATAGAAAGTGTCGTCAGGTCGACCTGCAGCAGGTTTGAAGGGCGGAGGGATCTCTCTGCGGAAGAGTTTCTGCAGAAAACACACAGAAAGATTCAGTGTTGAAATGTTTTTGTGTTGCAAAGAAAGTCTCTCTTCTTGAATTATAAACTAAATGTGATGAGCAAATGGCTTCCGAATCAGAAATTATCCCTCAGTGGGGAACATTTTCTTTATTCCATCTTGATTTGTGTTCTTAAAATGTTTCTTTTCAGACTTCATCCAACAATAAAGTATAATCATCATGTCATATCATAACATATTAAAGAGGCAAGCATCTAATAAAGTCTCTTTAAAGAAGGTACTGACGTTCCAGTCGATGGTGCTGAAGAAGTGATGTCTCTTTATCTCTTCAACGCTGTCTGGTCCAGCTCCTACAAAAAACAAACTGTTAGTGTTTTATCAAATACATCTGCCAATAAGAAGCATATTCTTTTAAAGGAGTGGGAATCTACCTCTACCCCTTTGCTTTAGAACTTGTCTCGATAATTAGCGTGTGTTGTATTCAATTGGAGAACATCAGGTCGTCCTTATTTGAATCAAACTTTGGATTTGGGGTCAATGTATGGATTATATCAGAAAGCAAATGGCTTGTTATGCAACTGTAAAAAAAATGTTGATTTATATACCCCTTTATTTATGAATGTGGATTAACGTACAGTTCATTCTCACAAATTGGAAATGTCCAGGAACTGGCGAGCATCTCTAGGCATGCATGAATTCATTTAACTTGTCAAAAAACAAAAAAAGTTGTACCTAATCTGTTTCCAGGGTTGCGTTTGAAAAGGTTCCTGAGGAGACTCTGAGCTTCTGAACTCAAAAACTGAGGCATTCCTAACTTGGCTCTGTGAAGAAAAAGAGAGAGAGAGTTTATATTCAAGTAAAATCAAGAATAGCTGCAGAATGACATCAACTGCACATATTGTATATCCAGACTGAAGCTTCTGAAAGACTAGAAGCTACACAGGAAACAAGGTCAGCGTTCTGCAGAGAGCGTGCTCGGCAGCTTTCTACACACAGACACTGATAAATAGACGACAGAGGAAGTTAATATTTCCTCTGATTAGTTTTTTATATTTTCTCTTTGAAAGATTCTCAATCACTGTCTCTTCCGTAGCCGTTATAAATCACAAGAACTCCTGAGTCCTCTTCTCTTCCTCCTGAGTGCTTCACTTTATCTCCTCAAATATAACCCTGCAGGATGTACAGTCATCTGTAATATAAGCTGTTAGATGGTGATTTGATACGAGGGTAGCGGCGGTATAAAGTTACTTGAGGATCATGGTCATCGTCTCTTTCCGGTCTTTTCCTTGAAACGGCAGCGTTCCTGTCAGCATCTCGAACTGAGAGAAAGAACAGATGATATTTCCAGGGTCAAAGATTTAAACGTCTTCCAACAACTGCCATTGAAATTTAAAAGCTTGTTGCAAGTGTTGTAATGTTTTCTTTTTACTGCTGCACAATTCATTTGGGCTCCAACATTTCAATGAACATGACCCCACTGTGTTATTGGTGTACAAAAACAGCATTTCAAATCAAGCGCTTCCTAAACTAACACCCAGCCTTCTGTAATATAATGAGAACAAATTAAAATGCTTTGAGTTGTGTGAAAAATAACATAATTAAGACCTCTTAAGATTTCATTAATTTTGTTCTCTTTGTGCAAAATAAACCAAAACACAGACAAAGAGTAAGATCGTAGGTAGTTATAGATATATGGAATATTTTAATCATAACCTCTTTACTTAAATGAAATCAGGTTAGAAATACTCAGTTACAACGACCTACTTAAGGGAAAGAATATAAGTATTGGCATCAAAATATAATTTACACAAAGTAAAATCCTTATTGCAGAATAATATTGTTATAGTTATTATCAATTGACTCTAAACACAAACAGTAAAAGGTAACTCAGATATTCCCCCCCCCACCA